TCCGCGATTCGGGGCTGGATGTCTTCGTCGATCGCGTCATTTTCCCCGCAGACGAATCGTTTTCTCCGCGTCTCTTCCATGCGCATCTGCCACAAAAATGAATTCACGAAATCTGCTCCCTGACATATAAAAGAATACCCCCTTGCCTCTCTCGATTCGCCCGTCTACACGGCCTCTTCATCTTCTCCTCGTCGCGTGTAGCAGAGAAACGCGAATCCCGGACAGCGTTTCTCATAAAGTCGCGAGCTGGCGCGTAATCGCGGGTATATTAAAGCGCGAGAAGATCAGTCTGGAGAAGATGCCGCGAAATAAGGAGAATTCCAGCGGCGAACACTTGCACACCGTATAAGCACGATATGACGGGCATCAAACGAGAATCCGCAAGTAGCGTCTCGAGAATGATACGTGTTCCCCGCGAGATCGCGGTTGCGGAAATTCTTTCGCGGCGTTGAAGACGAATTGTACGAAAAGTGTTAGTATCTATCGCGGAAGAGAGAATTAGACTATAACTGATTTTTAATTAACATTCCGCGAAAATTCTTGTCCTTTTTATCTGCTGAGAAATTCTGTGAAAAATTTCCACATATTTTATTGTCGATTTAAGCCAGCAACTAGGATCTTTAAAGGTATCATCTATATTTTAATTGTGAATTTTGATAGATAAATTTAACTCTCCACTACAGCAACGATAATTTAGACCCGAAGTAAAACTTAGACGATTGCACAATCTGTACGATTGGTACTGTAAGAGTCTAAATTGTAGATAAAAAAAACTTTGAATCTTCTATCAATCGCCGTAAGGCGAATTAAGGTTTTACTCACATTCTGTACTTCAAACAGAATGCTTTAGAACTTAAATCTACTTTTCATAGCTGTAGTTGAGGAATAAGGCCCGATTGCACTAACGTTATTTTAACTTTAAGCGCGAGGCTCAACTTTCTTAAAAACTCTCTCTTTTTCTGTCTCTCTATCGGCTTTGAGAAAAGAAAAAGATTTTTAAGTTTCGCTTAAAGTTACAGTAATATTGATGCAATCGGGCCTAAAGTGTAAAAAATAAATAAAATACAATTCGACTTCTATGATAGTTAGAATTCGTTAATGCTTTGACAAGTGTATCAGATTTTTTTTCGATTTTTATAGAATCCGGAGCAATAAAAAATTTGCTTTGTTTCTGCAAACAAATTGTGCCTCTAGTCCTCACGAAAGTTAAAATTCATATTGCCGGTGGACTGTTAATAAAAGATCTATGCTTACTCGTTATTTTCGTTTGTCCTAATATTATGCAATAGTATAATACGACGATGTCTATAAGACTTCAGCACTTACGTGAAAGTGCACGATATAGACTCGACTGTTCGTTCCGTGCAAGGCACAGAAACAGCGGTCGATGGATGGGAAGATTGTAGGTTATTTCCCTGGCATAATATTAGCAACCGTGTCATGCACTTATTTCTTTGCCCGACAAACATTCAGACATTTAAATAATGACGCAAGCTGGCGCGTCAGGGCGATATCGCTTTGACGTAGCGGAAGCGATTAACTATAATTTCTATCACTTGGTACTGAGTTCAAGAATATCTCTCGTCAGATCTTTAATGAAAAGAAGGAAACGTGGACAATCGATGTCCTCGATTCGCTGTCGTAATTTCAACTTTTTTCATCGGAGCTGTGTCGTGTACCGTGAATGGGAGACACGTGGTTGGTTTCTTCGAGAATTTAGTGTCAAATTCGTACGTTTGTCACCTTCGTACGTTTCCGCGAATAACGGAAACATACGTTCGGTCAATCGATGAAGAATGACACTGAAACTATGAAAGTTACCGACTCTTGCTGAAGTTCCCAAGACAAAACCAAGTCCGAGTCGCTTGTTCGCGCGAGCTAGCAAAGAAACGTGAATCGAAAAACGATGAAAACGAGATGAACGACACGGCGGGCATAAGTCGACGAGAGAATTACGTTTTTTTTTTTCTTTTTACGCCTCTCTCGTGTCGTGCACTCAATCTCCTAGCTCGCAAAAGTAGTAAACGCTTAACGCCGATGCTCCCCTTCCATCTTCCGTAGTAATTATTCGCCGCGCATCAAACTGAAAGAATTGTAACGCGGATAATAAAATCCCCTGGAACGAAGAACAAGATGTAAGATAGGTAAGCGGGAGAAATGGCACGTCGCTTTTTATTGTCGACGTTTCTCGGTACGGCATAAAAAAATCTTTCTAAGGTGACGATAAAAGAAATACGTGGTTTTTAAAAACGGTTCAGTAAAAAATATAACGCGTGATAAATTTCATATTAAATTTCGCTTAGAGATATGTTTAAGGGGCAATTATTTTACGTAATACTTTTCATTGCAGCGTCATACTAACATGAATTTATACAAGAGTATTAAAATATGAATTAAAATGACACTATTTACGATCTACCTAAGTAGTAAGGCTTTGCGCTCAATCAGACGCCGTTTAATGCGAGAAAAGTAATTCTTTCTTTTCTTGCTTCCCTTCTGCTCCGCGTCATCTTAATATCGTGATATCTAAGTAAAGGAATTCTTCGAGCAGCTGTCGCGCCCGTACCGCGACATTATTCTCGGAACCTTCCTAAGTGAGGATATTAATCGCTGAGAAGTTACGCCTGACCGAGTTTCTTCGGGATAAATGAAGAGAACAGTATGTCTGCCGAATGTAATCACATTTTATTGAGCGCGCCGTCAATTTGCATTATTTTTACTAATCATGTATTTCTTATTCGAGTACCTAGTTATTATTTAAAGCATATATGTTAAAGAATAATAACGAAGATGATGAATATTTAGATAGTCACAAAAATTCATTATTATTTAACTATTAAGTAGCTAGGTGATTTAAAAATACGCAAGTAATTCTTGTCCTTTATTTTTTGTTCAAATTTAGGTTCTTAGAGGCATTAATACATTGCTAATATCTCGTTTTTTAACTGTGAAACTTTATTTATTACGTCTTGCTCTTCTATTGTTACTTGATTGTTACATCAATAAAGTTATTATTAAGTTGATAGATGGAGTGCTCAAATATTCACAAAAATTTTAATTTTTTACACTGAAAAAGGTTTATTAAATATAAATACATATTTCTTTAAATAATACTAAGTAAATATTTATTTATAATAAATATTTATTTAATAAAAATGCTTCTTTCGGTCCGAACCAATGGTTCCAAATCGGACCATCCCCTAGTTCATATCGAAAACTCCTATTTTTATGGATTTTTAGATAGAATTTTAAAATATTTTAATGTATTTTTCTTAATATTGAGTAAAAACGAGCAATTTGACAGTCAAAGATATAAATTTTTTCAGAAAAAAATTACTGACAGTTTATATTATTAGAATTAAAATAAATAAAACTCAACTAATCTGAGTCTGATGACACATGATATTTTACTGATTTAATTCCTTGGACCAGATCTGGTCAGCCGATCACCAGTACTACAACCAGGCCTATAAGTTATCTACTGTACTGTCCGATTTGGACGCCGGGTCTTTTCGAACTTTGGAACAAATTTTACAATAAACCGCAAAAGTAATCACAAAATGCTTGATATTTTTTAATTCTACACTCTTTAATTATCTTAAATCAATTACTTTTCAAATTTTTAACACTTTTTAAATAATGATTTACAAGGATTTTCTTTTTTAAAAAAATTTTTGCACAATGGCTGAAAATACGTATTTGCTTCTATATTATAAATGTTAAGACAGAGAACTGTCAAATTACTATCACATTCGGTGTCTTATAAGGATTTTACATTATAAATAGTATGCAAATCTGCTTAACCTGTATTCATTTCAATTAAAAAGGTCCTATTTGGAACACGGTCCGATTTAGACCTCTCCCCTACTTATTGTTAGAACTATTCAAACAAATATTGATTAAAATTTAGTTTTTTTTCTGTATATATTTATATTTTTTCTAGTATATTATGCTATAGTTAAATTTACATTAATTATATCCTTATAAAATAAAGGAATGTAAAAATAATGAATTCTTTACGACTGGATATCTGAGTAATACTCTTTATTTTCCTTTCCGAGAATACGGTTTTAAAGCAAACTATACCTAGAGTGATATGGCCAGACTCATTTAAAGGTTAAGCTTGCATAATTCTGTGCAGTCAATTAAAAAAGAAATGATTTTGCAATCAAGGAAACTTTTTTTAGATCCTCTCGGCAATTATCCCCTCTTTACTTAGTAGCGGAGTAAGAAATTTATCTTCGCTCAACAAACAACGAATGTTTGGACACGGTTCAATTTTGCGGAATGGGCGAAGAAAAACATCAGATCGGCCTTCGCGTTTTCTGGACCGATTCTTTCCAGTGTGCTCCGGCGAGTAGTAAACACTTTAGCGTGTTCCCGCGGATATGTTCGACAAACACGTTCCAATAAGCACTTTTATCTCAGCTTTTAACGATGAATCGTACTCTCGGCGGCAGTAGGGCGCGAATAATCGGACCGAGCCTCTCGTACACGTACACGAGCGATTAAAAGCGATACGTTACGTCGCGCGAACTCGCCCGCACGAATGCTTTAATGAGAGTACCTGGTGGACCTATATTGACATTTCGGTGCACACACACATATACCTATGTATATATCCCGGAAATACTGTGGTGCCGCACAGACAAAAATATAGAGTACAGTTTCCTGTGTTTGTATCGTTTGTTTACATGAGCACACTAAGCGAAAGCTTGCGATTATTATATTATGCGCTCTCTGATAATTATTCCTGTTCCCGTAAACTGCAAAATTATTCTTAGTCGACTGAAGACGAACGTTTTCTTCCTTTTTCGTGCAAAATGTAGACATTTTAATAATGTCCCTCACAATTCGCGGAACGGAAGAAAGAGTGAAAGAATCTGTTCGAGGCACCTTCTACCATTTTCCTTTTCAATTTCTGCTAACTGTTTTGAATCACCACATTATCTCGTACTCTCCTAACTTTTTCTCTACACAGATACTATGAATAGACTTACCAATCCCGCGTTGCCTTTGCGACGAATTGCTTCTGATTCTCTCTATCGATTGGCATCGAATGGTGATAGCGATGATCATCAATGGTAACAACCGAATGGCAAATAAGGCGGGTCTCGTTTCGGTCGAGGATCGTGAGGTTGTAAGGCGACGCCAGGAGTCGGGAAGCCATTCGATCCAAAGCCACCCACGATTTACCGGCCACCACCCAGGACGGATACGCGCAACGCTGCGGTGGCTTTTCTGTAACATGAAAAGATGGCTGTGGAGAGAGGATCTCTTATTTGTCGCCAAAATGTTCTCTCCGCGACGCAAATTTCACATGTGCATTCATGATATTCTTTTTTGTGTGTCAGAAGATTGAATCGGAATTATTTGCGAGTTCTAAATATTTGACGTTCTTCTTCGCGAGCACGCTTCTTTATACATTTATTGACGTCGTTGTCAATTACGTTAAATTTAAATTGAAATTTAAAAACGCAGAAAAATTGTATTTGAACAGCATTCCGCGAAGTTTTGTCTCCTTTACTATTTGCGATTATTGAAAATATTTTAGTGTTTTCAAAGCCGAAACCCAAGATTGTAAAGTTGGTTATCGCTGCAACGTCAACAGTTTAATTCCTATAATTTTCATCTCCACATTGCAAATTCGGACGACTGTTAAATTCAAATGTAATTACGTTTCAAGAAATAGCTGCGGCTTTATTCTTAGAGACGGCTGTAACTCCGCTCCTAACGCAGTTATTTCAAACTCGAAATGCATAATATATACTGTAAGCTCGTTCTCAACTCTTTAAGTTCACGAGGTCCTCGAGCAGATAATCCAGCATAAGTAAACTTTGACCTCTCTTCTTCCTACGCCGTAAACTTCGTTTTCAACGGCATGCCGACTGTTTCCTGCGCATTATCAGGTTCTTGCACGCTCCGTCTAAGAATTCCGTCGAAAAAAAAGAAAAGAAAAAATAAAATCGACCGGTATTCGACAGGACAGGCCACGTCCCGAATAATTCCGCGCTAATTACAGTACACTTTTAACAACGTTATATTCGTAACTAGCGTAATTACAAGCGAGCGACATACGTCATACGTGAACGTGATGTATATTAACCAACTCATTAGCTTCATTAACACACATACATATACCTGCGCACGCGCTTTGCATTATAACGGTTAATTCATGTACGCATTGCATTGTCATTGTCGCAGTAATGATTCGGAATTGTTCTCGCTATTACTAATAAAATATTGTAGCCATATCGCTCGTGAAAGTATTAAAAAGTAAAGATTCGATGAATTGTAATAATGTATTGTATATACTATATTAAGAGTATGAAAATTATTAAATAAATGCATAAAGGTGCCACGTGCTGGCAACGACCGGTTTACGTTGACGCAAATAATTTGCTATAAACGCGCGACAGCTCCGTCGCCGGCGAACAGTTATCCTGTCAATGGTCGGTTGCTCACGGCCATCAATCACCATGCACTGTGAATTAATGGACCGTTAAAAATGCACGAGCGACAAAGTATGCTGCGTGCGTGCTGTATACTGCGACAGCGGCCTGCGTGCAACTAAAAGCTAATCGATAATTCAATCGGGTGTATGCGTGCGCTGTAACGCTATAGGTCGCCGAAATTGCGCTGCTTATCGCGTACGTCGCCGCGAACGATAAGGGAGAGGCATAACGATGGCGATAAAGAAACAAGCAGGATCCGCGTAATTGTTTCATTATGCGATCTACGTTCCTGCGATATAATTATTTTCTTATGCGTATATATTTTTTTACATGATACGTGGAAAGAATTGCGCACTGTAGTTTGTATCTAATTAAAATTCTCCTATCTTGCCAGAGAAATTTTCAAATTTATAATCATTTGCATGTAGGTTATATAATTTATAACGAATAATTTTATATTAATCAATGAGCTTCGGATTTTCGTTCGACGCAAATTAATTTTCGCGTAAAAGGATAGAGAATAAAATTAGTTTTATTATTAAACTAGTTTTGTTAAACTTAATAATGTGCGGTGGGTTTTGTATCACAAGCACTTTCAACAAAGTGCTCGATAGATATGAATTATTGCAAGCATAACGATTTGAAATTTAAGTGCGAAAAAGAAATATGAATCTTCTTTTTAATGTTTTACTGCAATCTTGCGATGTAAGTATGCTGTGTATAACAAAATACGTATTAAAATGAGTCACGCCCGTGGCGAAATGGAAAAAGAAACGTATGCTTTGTTTAAAGTAAATTACGTCCATCCTCTTATCTTCCTTTGCAGTCAGACCGCATGTAATGCCATGGCATTACCTCGAAAAGATTGCAATTCCACAGTGCTTCGGCGGCGGTTATTTGAAAATGGCAATCTAAAATGAAAATACTATCCACGGAAAACGTTGCGAGGGTCCTTGGAGTGTCGGCACTAAATATATATAATTGTACATACCAAAGTCAATTTTTTAATCGTCTCGTTTGACAAAAAAAAATTAGCTTCTGAAATACGGGATATGAGAAAAACTTTCTTAAAAACTACTCACTAATGGAGAGTTGTTTGAGAAAAGAAACGATATGAAACTCAACGATACGAAAAATAGTAAAAGGCACACGGATATGCAAAAATGTTTCGAAATTTAAAAAAACTGTTAAAAAATATAAAATGACTGTTTTAAAAATTCACTACTATTCTGATATTTCATAGATATGTGTATTTCTATCGCGCGATGATATTCTACGTTTTTCGCATAACTGTATTTCTTCCGTTACTATGCATACTTGTTCTGGCTTTCTGCTCCTCTTGCTCTAACCACAATATTTCTCGAGAAGATCCTAATGCACGGCGGATTTTCGCGAAGCAACGCAGATTGCGCTTTAAAACTATATTTTTCCTTTGATGAAACGGATTAGGTATACTAAGATTAAGGTATATTTTAATTAATCATTTTCATACACTTTTATTTTCACACCGTGAAAGTGAATGAAATTGACGTTTGTAATTTATTTAATTTATTATATTATATTAACATTTTGAATTGTATGTTACATATTTCTATGACATCATGTTTATATAAGAATTTTCTTTTTACTATTTCAATTGTATTAAATTGTTTAAATTTGTGTAACGGCTGAGGAGAACTTTGTTAGTCGAAACGTTCCGCTTGTTTAACTTTATTAAATATATACACGTTTTATTAACTTTATATATCTGTTTTTGCTTGTTTACCTTGGCTTTTGTAACTTTACATTTAGCTACTTTCGCTTTTTATATTAATCATTTTCTTAAATAATTATACCTCATTCGAAATCACCGTATTTACATGCAATTCTTGCGAACCGATTATAAGCATGTACAGGAAATGGTATAAGAAAGAATAAGGAGGAAATTTACATATCGGCCAGATAGAATTTATCGCGCGTTGGCGAATAACGCTTCTCTTCATCCACGGGCGGGCACTTCGGGGCGGGAAGCACGGCGTAGCTCGAGATCCCGGGGCTAATCTGCCTCCTGGAAAGTTTAAATGGAAACGCGGTACCGGGTAGGGGGTTAACGAAACATCCGCGACGCCGTGGTAAGGGCGCCGCTGAAAAATTTTTAAGCTGCTTAACGCTCGAGTTGAATTTCCACTAGCAGTCGTGGCCGTAATTTCGAAATATTAAGCGATAGCTTTGTCATTTCTCGATAACATGTCCGTCGATTATGATTGACGACGTATAATAGACGAATAATAACGATATATTAATATAACGAGATAATAATAAAATAACATATCCGAGATTCGTCGCGCGCTCGAATAAAAAATCCGGGCGTGTCGAGCGAAAATCAAAAGCGGATAAACTGAAAATCTATTCGATGGGTTTATTCGATAACGGGGAGATCCTTCTTCACAATAAATACTCAACCATACCAATCGTCTCGATGTACATTGCGCTATTCGACCGAGGATCAAATCGGAGCCGCCCGTTCGTCGCCCTCAATATGGTTAACCGTGAATCCTGCGACAAGAGCGTCCCAAACCGGCAAGGGTACGTGTAGCTATGCGATACCGTGGAATACCCGAAGTACCTGGCGTTGACCACCGGACGGAGCCAACGCTAGTATGCCGGACAAGAATCCGATCTGGTGTCCGCAGGCACTCTCATAGTTTACGTGCTCTCGTTCTTGGGGTTCGGGGCTTCCGCACGTACGGCGGCTTTCGTACTGGGTATATGGACGCCGATCCACTACCGTTGCCTCTCGTTGCCATCGATTAACAGCCCCTTGCGGAATTTCGATCGTTAGGGTCGATCTTACGCGTTGCGCGATGAACATCGAAACGCAGCTCGTGTCGAGCGATCGCGATGAACGTTATTCAAGGAAGTCAAATGATCCCTTTCTATTTTTTTAAAATTTAATTTTTACGAATCCAGTGTTAAATAATTCTCTTATTTCAAAAGTATCACAACTTGAACAATAATTTCCCAGAAAACTATTTTTCAACTTGAGAGAAATTATTGAACAATCAAATAATATAAAATAATACTTATATTTTTAGCAAATGAAATGTTATTTTTATCAGTTTCATTTTACAATCCTTGAAAAATTATCCTTGTTGGATTTGACGATTTATTTTTAACCATCCTTTTTAAATTGTGATGATTTAATAAAGTTAAATTAGTTTATTTTTATTTTTTTATTTAATCTTTACGAATTCAGTGTTAAAATATCGCTCTCATACTTCAAAAGTATCACAACTTAAAAAATAGTTCCCAGAAAAGTGGAAAAACTATTTTTCAACTTGACATCAAATTATTGAATAATCAAATAATATTAAAGAATATATTTTTAACATAATCAAATGTCACTTTTATCTCATAATCTTTAAAAAACTATCCTAATTCATTTGTGGTAATAATAATAAAGAATCACATTTATTTTTAATTGTGCCACTTTTAAAGTAAAGGAGCGATATGTTAAAATAATTTAAAGTACGCTTAAACCGTCAAAAATATACGTTTTCTTAGAAAATATAAAGATTCCCGCGGAGATTTTAAAAGAGAGTGCGAAGAGATGCAGGTGGACTCACTCTGTGTCATCTTGAACGTTCTGGCGGCCTCGGTGACGCTGATCAATCCGTTGCAGGCGGCATCCGAGCTCTGCGCGAGGTTCCACGTATTGTTCGATGGATTTGTGTAAATAAAACATCTGTAGCTCTCTTCGTCGCTTGTTTTACGATCGTTACGATCACTGTGCAAGCGCGCGACCATGTAATTTGTGCTGCCCTCCCTCCAATGAGCCAGACACTCCAATTCTACGTCTAGAAAAACAAACCGTTACAACTGCAAATTGGCATGTATCCAATAATAACCGTTATTTTTTTTTTGTTTTCCCCTCCCCCCTGTTTTACCGAAATACACGGTGCCGTTGATGTGTACGCGATCGTTGTGATGTATACTTTTACGGGGCTTTACAGAAAACATAAACTTGCAGAGTGTTAAAGTTACCAGCTGACAGACGAGATACACCGGCTTTTGCAAAGATATATCAAAGCGAACGAAAATTCGGTCGTGATTCTCCAGCCTATACGACCCTATTAGTAACAGACTCGTAAATAGAAGTTTATCGCTGTTGTCCCCGGATAAAGCCATCTGCAGAAGTTATAAACGGGGGTAAACGATATATGAATGTTCACATGAAAACGCATTATACCGTTCGCATACGCGATCCGCGAACGTGTGTGGCACGATGCAGCGCCGTGTATTCATTTATTCGCGCGCCGCGTATCGAGATAGACGATCGGGCACGGGCCGATGATAATTGCGCAAAATCGTTTGGACAAGCCCAGCAACAAATGGTAATTGACAAGGCCATTAATCATTCATTTCGAAGCCGCGAGCTTTATTGACCGTTACAGGCCTTGCGCGTCGTGTTAATTAATGTCAAAGCGGATGTTAACGTCACCACGGAAACACCGCCGACGTCATAATTCCTTTTTACCCGCTGAAATGCCCTCTGCTACCTTAACGACATGACAAGTCCACGAGTTTGAATACACTTCTTTCGCGTATAATTTGATCATACGATTTTGTTTCCGATAACTGGAATTAGCCTCCAATATTTCTCCGTTCGCAACAATTAGAGGCTGCTGTTACTCCTCTCGCCACATTTTATTGTGTTTTTTAAATAAATCATTTTTTACAATAAAAAATCGATAGAAAATTTAAAATAAATCAAATGTTGAAATTTCGTAAAAAAAAAAAAAACGTAAATGAGAAAAAACTCGATGACAATAAAGCTATGAATTGAAACTTTACATCCGCGTACTTCAAAATTTGCATCAGTATATTGAAGCACTCAGCGAGCGCTTTATAACTGTAGATTGCAACGAATTAATTATGAACCAATAACAAAATGTCACTAGGCAGTGATTGGACTCGCACACGCTGTATAATTCATAATTGTTTAGGTATTCACTTGACAAATTACAAGCGTTTGTAAACAGGTATAACACAATTGCCATGTAAATGGATATTGCACAATGCATGTTGGCATAATAATATTATTTTATACGCGGTATCTATTGTATGGTACCTGTTTGTTGAATGGTGTCAAAGATACCGTGGAAAACACCGTAATCAAATTTATATAATCGTCAGCATTGAGCTAGAAAGAATATAAAACAAGATATATCCTATACCGGACGGAATTTCTAGAACATTCAACGTTCATAGACGTTCTATATTTTCTATAAATATTTGTATATTTTTAGGACATTCTATGATGTGTCTATCTAGAATGTATATAAGACAGATGGCCAAAATTTTTTCGTTCGCTGCCCAATTGATTTTGTAAACTCCACGATCCACAAACTAATTATTTGTATTATATTTCTTCAGGATGCCTAGATATTTAAGTCATAAATTTGAGTATTCTCCTTAATATCGCAAAAAAAAAAAGAAAAAGAAAAAGAAAAATGTCTAAAGATTAAATAGACATATTTAGCCGCGCACCATTGATATCTGATTCGTCTGTGTAAAATGAGTTTGTCACATGTTAACATAATGATACGGGGAGTGTACTGACCCACACTTTCGGACGAGTGAACGTTGGCGCACGCTTGGTAACGCAGGAGCAGACGTGAGTCCTGCGTGCACGCTTCCGCCCGTGACCGCGGCGAATTGCACTCGCCCTCGCCCTGGCTGTATGTGAACTCCAGGGGACCCTTAATGGGACAGGGCAGCGGCGCTGCATTGGAGCGAAACAGAGAGACCAGAGTGGCGTCGCTGGTCAACGTGCCGCATTGGGTCAGCAGACTTGGTTCCGGTGAATCGCTCGTGCAATAAGCTAATAACAACAGCAAAACGTAACGTTGCATCACCGTTCCTTGTAAATGCGATGATTAGAATGATGAAACATATATTGTGTTTATTTTGTTTTCCAGTCAAAGTAAAATTCCGAGCAAATTAAGATATAAGAAAAGGAAAACTGTACTGAGGGCAAAACAATTAAGAAAGAAACGAGGACGTAGGTAAAAACAGATAGCGATTTTTGTTCTGTTCTGTTATAATAATTAAGTTTCTTTTAAGAAAAGGAAGGGAAGAAAAAGAAACTAGATAAGAAGAAAGAAGAACGTAAAAATAACAACACAATGTACCATAAGATGATATTTTATCAAGCATAAAGAAGACAAAAGATTATAACAAGATTCAGTGAGTCATAAGTTTTTACGACGCTAAAAGCTAAACATTCTTTAAAGAGCAGAATGTCATTTAAAAATCTTAATAATTAGCGATATCTTACTTTCTTTGTATTGCAGAACGTTGGCATGTTGCGCATGCATCACAATACACCGGTAACATCTGTACTTCCTGCAACAGAACGGGAAAAAAAACCAGTTTTGAATGTTGTTCAACGTACGTAGTTTTTATAAATTTTACCCATTCATATTACTTATGAATTGAAACCAATAGAAATAAAATCTACGGTATATATATCGTTATGTCACCGCATTCTGCTTTTTTTATTAAACAAATCCATCCACTGAAAGCGTGTTTTGAAAGAAGCTTTTGGCAACACCAAAAAATTTTAAAAGCATATTTTTAAATGATTTTCATACGTACAGGTGATTCATATGCAAAAACTGTACAGAAAGAGCGATATTTTACTAAAGTATCTTTAAAAATTTAACTAGATTGTGATCTAAAAATAATTTTGTTAAACCATCAAAATAATTTTGTAAATATCAAGCAACCAGTTTGCGTTCTACATAATTATTCTGATGATGATTAAAAAAATATTACTTTCAGATTTGTATCTAGTTAAAATTTTGTTTCAAACGAAATCTTTCTGTGTATATAATTCAATTTAATGAAAAAAAAATTGTGAAAAATCAGCGAATCATTAATCTAGTATCAAGATGAGATTTATAATTCCGATATATTCCACATAAACAGAGTCCATTTCATAAAATTATAAAAGAGCGTATTTTATTCAATGCGTAATAACTTCGATTTGTTTCAAACGTGGTATTCGGCGTTGTGCTTACGCCCGCTGTCATTCCTCATCGCAGTGACTGTATTTACGTTGATTTCCGCTCTGGAAAAAGGTATAAATCATCGCGGGCCGCTCTATTTGAATACCGCGTAAATTTACAAACCAAATATCGAAGTAATTTCTGTCGCGGCGGCGCTCGCGAATTTTGTTGTCGCATTCGTCGTCGCAACCGGCACGATTTCGTCGATTATCGCCCTTTTCAAAATGCATCGCTAAAGCGGATTAATATCGTTACAACCCCGGGGCTGTCTCGGTGCGCATAGTAACAGATGCACCAGTGGCAGAGTAGCGATAGTAGCCGGAAACTATATCGGACTGACAGCCGGGAACAAAGGTAAACTTCGATTTAAGCTACCAAGAGGAGAAGGGAAGGAAAAGGTATCGAGGGATGGAAAGGGGTGAACCCGGGAAAGGGGTAGAATGAGAAACAGTGGAGAAGCTGCAAGAGAAGGTAAGTTGCGGACCCGAGCTAAGTAAGCAAGGTGCCAACTAGTAAGGACACAAGACAAGCTCCGAAAGTTTTAAGTAGCTACGCGATACTACTCGTTGGACTTCTCTCTCCCTTCCTTCTTCTCTCTCTCTCTCTCTCTCCCACTTATACAAGCAACGTCATTATTGCACTGCGTTTGTCTTTTCGTTCACGCGCGTGTCCCGATTTCTCTCACCTTTTTAGGAACTGGTTCAGCAACGACAGCGATTCATCGATAGAGAAAAATCAATTTCGGACTAAAGTTGTCGGGAGTTCCGGCCAACTCTTAATGGGTTTTAAATCGTCGCAATCTCCATCATCGCGGAAACGCATAAACGGTCCGCGCAAACTCGCGCCGACCATGAACCGAAAGTTGCGAAGTTTGTTTGCACGTTCGACGCAAGCTCGTGTCTCCGAAAATGGTTCGGACCGTGAACATCGTCGTCCCGTGATCGTATTCCACAATGCGAGAGAGAGACCGAAGCAAGGAAGCTGAAGCAGCCTGGAAACGCGGTCGGTTTGTAGTTAAATGCGGACGCCTTTGTCTAAGGAATAGAACGCTTTTGTCAATAGAAATCGTCTCGCTTCAAGCTCTCGCGTGAGCGTTTCTCTAACAATTTTGCTCGCAGACTTCTCTCGCGCGACGATCGACCTTCGTTTCCCATAATTATAAATTTCACTTCGCCATCTTGCCCGCGTTGAAGACGTAATTTGTCGCGTACGTAATTCGTCGTCGCTGCTTTCTCTCCAAACATCCAAACGTGTTCAAACCTGCTGCTCCATTCGCGCTCAAGTTTCTCATTCTTTGAGAAGTTACTTTCCCATTAGCTATCTTATCGTCATCGTTGACACAGCAATATTTTTTTCAATTTTTAACTCTAGAATGATATCGTACCTATAGGTACGATAATAGGACAAATATAAAAAATTTCAAAATATTATTGAAAGTTAGAGAAATTTATGAAAAAGATATGGAATTTTAGGCTGAGAAATTTCATATCTTTTCCTTGATTTCCAGACAAAATTTCATAATCTTCTCTAACTTTCAATAATATTTTGAAATTTTTTGTATTTTTGTCCTGATTTGGAAACCGTTATAAATATTTTGTTGAGAGATCAATTTAACATAACAATGTAAATTATTATTAATGTTTGTTAATACAGTTTGCATTTCTAACTTCTTTAAAGCCAAGAATCTTAATTTTTCAGAAAATTTTGTAAAAACTTCCCTAACTGTATCTTGATTTACCTGACCGTTTTTAATTTCCCTAACAATTTCCCTAATTTCCAGTTTTGTTGTAACTCTGAATAATCATCAGGAAGTCGATCTATCATACTAAAAGCTAGAACAAACGGAGACAAGTTTTTAAAAGTTCAGTCCGTTATATGCATATCAATTTAATCCTCTTCGTAATCATTATAATAACAGAGAGTGTGTTGAGTGATTTCAATTTTTAAACAGTTTTGTAAAAAAATTCCCACTTATTGAGACTAGCGGAATAATGATTCTCAACAAGATAATATAAGGATAACATATAAATTGTATATTTCACTTATCTCACAGATTCAATTTACCGAAAGTTTGAAATGTGGCTTGAACTTTGGTATTGTAAACGGAGCTTATAACGTTTAAACGTTTTAACCAGACGTTCGATTAACCGGCACGCTCGCTTTAAGAATTACACTTTCACGGAATTATCTACATAGGTACCTGAGCCACTATTCACTTTATTCCTTGTCCGAACTCTTACTCAAAAGCTTCTTATTCTAAAGCTTCTTTCTTTCTTCTGCCAACTCATTCTGGTTCATTGCTATTTGCGCCCTCGAGCTAAAGGAATTCGCATTATGTCTAGAATAAATGTATTTAGAGCTTTAACCGATATGCGACTTTACATGCTTTATTCCTTATAGTTTTGTTATATATTTTATCAATGATTGTTATGAGAAGACATTGAACAACATATTCCATATTATTTCGAAATTGAATTTGATAGCATACTATACTTTCTTCCTTTTTAAATTAATAATTAAATTACTTTATATAAACATCTAGATTATACAAATATTTTATCATTAAAAGTGAAAATTAAGTAATTGCAATTTTTAGCACTTTTTCTCCAGAAATTAAATATTTGATCATTCAAATATTTAACATTTAATATTAAATATTTAAAAAATTCTGACTAATTACGGATTTCCCTTGTTGTGTATAAATCACGATATCAACGACGGTATGTGTTTGTTATAAACCATCTTGATTTCTTCGGTAGATCGGTCGCCTCTCTTGTTCCCAGTTGTTGAACATTTACTTAATCGTTAAACGAAATGGTTTACGTTAAGTCGAGTATTCGCATTTTAACGAGAGAACCACCGTTAAAGTCACCTCTACCTCGACCCTCAATAATTCTGATGCTTCATCGCTCGATGAACTTCGCACTAATAACGCGGGACGAGACGAGACGAAATATGAGAGATCGTTTCTCGTTCTTCTCGTCATTCCATGCATCGTCTCTCGTATATGTCGTTGCTGTATATAAAACTTTCCACGATTTCCCCATTACGCGTGAGTTATTAATGATGTGAATTATTAACGCAAGAATCTATCTCTGGGGAATAAACAATTTTAAATATGATATCAATCTCGTATACCACGAAATCCGCGGATAAGGGAGAATTTTGGCAGGGAATTAATAATCCGTCTGATGTTGTCGTTATCTTGCATATGACGACTACTTCAATATGTTAATGTGTAACGTTGATTTCTGCTCTCGCGTATAGAACTTTTATTTCTTTTGCATAAATATTCCCGCGTCTCCGTGCGTAATCCATATGTCGAATCGTGTTCTGTGTTTGTATTTTAATCCGATCGCTACCCTGCACGTTGACGTCGAACATTTCAGAATGCAAATTCGTAATCTTCTGTTTTCACATGTTGACATCTTGCGTAAACATCCAGTACAGCGTAATCCATATATTCCATTCGGTTTCGCTCGTATTGGATTATCGCGAACCACTGATATTACACAGCGTGATAATAACCAGTTTTTATTTCGTCATTTTGTGAAAAACGGAAACGCACGGAGGTAAAAGAGGAAGGGACTGATCCTATACAGCCTCGTTCAAACTTTGTACATAAATTTTTTCACGTGAAAAGAAAAAGGATAAATATTCGAGAAAAACATTTTGGGACGATTCTGAATAGAGTTCCGCGAAACTACATCAAACTCAATTCTTTGTTAAATATTTTGATATTTTTAACTTCCATGTGTGTTAAAACATATATTCAATTCATTTCTTTGATTAGTTTCAAAGTCAACAATATCTGTATTAACTGAAGAAAGAGTTTGGTAATAGTTACCAAATGTTTAATGAAATAATGCAAATTAAATATTTGGTTAATATAATCAAAAATTATTTTACTTTCGTAAATATTTAGTAAGTATTATATAACGTTTATTATGTAACCATTTGGAAATATTTACTGAATATTTAAGAAAGTAAAATAATTTTCGATTATATGAACTTAACATTTAATTAGCATTATGCCATTAAACATTTGGTAGCCATTACCAAACTTTTTTTTCAGTATATGCACTCAATAAATAATAAACTAAATTTCAATTAATACATTGAGTCCTGAGTTAAATTATTCTATTATTTTAGTTAAATTAATGACATATTGAATAGGAACAGTAACGACCTATAGAAATGATTAAAAATAATTATGGGTATAATTTGATATTATGAATTTAACAGTATAAAAACAGCGAGAGGGTTATTCTCGTCGAGGATGTAATATCGAGATTCAAATTGCCGATCACAGGGCAACGATACTATTTGCATTGT